ATCGTGCATTCAATGATTTATTTATGTCTTGTTTTATTATTAGATAACCCTGTTACTTCAGTACTATCATTGTTCTTGCACATCAATTTGCTTTTTTGCTTAAGAGAGTCTCTCCAAAATTAAATTGGACCCTAGAATGTGTTGTGTAGTGATTAAAAGTAGGGGTGTTTTTTTAGTTTTTTGCTAGAGGGCGCGTGTGCTCACCAGAAAGACAGAGAGAGACAGAAAGCAAGAAATCTCTCCCCAGGAGGGATGAACATGCTGCAATCCCTTTTCCTCCATTCTCCTCTCAGGATCTTGGGCACACATGCACATGCACCCAGTGTGAGTTTAAGCCACTGGGTCCAGGACTCAAACTGCCGTCAACTACATGGGAGTCAAGCGACATAACCATCATGCCAACTGCTGGTCCCATAAAAGCAATTTCAACATGCGTTTTTTTACTTTCAATTTATATGCTTTTCTTTCATTTCATGTCTTATCATTGTCTCAATGTAAAAAAAAAAGTATAGACACTCAGTTACCATCATCAGATAATTCTTTTTTAAAAATAATTATTTTATTTAACTTTATTTACTTATTTTAATTTGATGAGAGAGAGAGAGAGGTAGAAAGAAAGTGAGAAAGCAAGCTGCCAGGTCTGGGACTTGAATCATGGTCAACCATGTTGGGAATACAGTGCCCTTAACCACCTTGCCACCTGCTGGCCCCCAGATAATTCTTTCCTACCATGACCTTTCTTAGAGTGTATGAGACCCTAGATCCTTTGACTTGGTGACAGCGAGGATATAAAGTGAGGCTTAAATAAGAGTTGTTAAATACTGGAGGCCAGCATTTGGTGTAGTGGTTATATTGCAGAACAATCACATGGCTTACTACAGTTTAAGTCCCAGACCTGGTGGCTTGAAACTCAAACCAGGCATGTGTTGTGTGTGCCCAAGATCCCGGATGAGAATGGAGAAGGGACTGTGGCATGGCCATCTCCCCTGGGGGGTGATTTCTCACCTTCCCTCACTGTGTGTTCATCTCTCTCCAGTGAGCTTAAGTGCCCTAAAGCAAAATCCTCTTAAAAAAAAAGATGGGGCCAGCAGGTGGTTAAGGCATTGTACTCTCACATGGCTGACCGTGATTTGAGTCCTGGACCTGGCGATTGCTTTCTTACTTTCTCTCTTTTTTTTTCTCTCTCTCTAGTCAAAATAAAAATAATAATGATGCATAAAATTAAATAAAATAATTATTTAAAAGAAAAGAGTGGTTAAATACTGTAAGAGGGTTGGTTTTCTGGGTTGTTTGTTGTGTTTGGTACTAATTCCATTGTTCATTACTGACTTCAGTTCTGTTTCTCTGGTTTTAGCTAGCTGGGCTCCCAGGTGAAGAAAAATAACTTCCTGGTTATATTAACTAGAATTGCTCAGTGGAGAAGGCTTTCCATTTAAATCAGCATTTGCCATTAGAAGCATCTGAGCTATTGTTTTTATACTCTGGATCCTTTTTGAAACCAAGGTTTACTTTCTTTTTTTCCTTTTTCTTCTTTTTTTAGTTTTGCTTAGGGCCAGTTCGCTTCCCAGAGAGACAGAAAGGGAGGAAGAGGAAATGAGAAATCACCTCCTACAGAAGATATCCATGTTGTAATTCCTTCTCTTCCATTCTCCTCTCTGGATTTTGGGCATACACATAAATGCTCCTGGCTTGATTTTCAAGTGGCTAAGTCCCCAAACCATGCAGTAGGCCGTGTGGGATTTAGCTGCCATAATCACACTACCTGCTGGCCTCACTTTCCCTTTTCTTTTTTCTTAAAAATAATTCTTTAATTTTATTTATTCATTCATTTATCTTATTTTGACCAGAGATACACACACACACGGAGGGAGGTAGGGAGAGAAAGTGAGAAAACAAGCCATCAGGTCTGGCACTTGAACCATGGTCAGCAAAGTGGGAGTGTCCAGCACCTTAATCATCATGCCACTTGCTGATCCCTCATTTTCTCTTTTTTCTTAACTGGTTTATTCACAAGTGCATTTCCCAGGAAAACACTTTTCATGCCTGGAATGGCATGAAAAAGATACTTAAGACATGATTCTTGTATTCTCTGTCCATAATGTATGTCTTTTTTTGTTTTTCATTTACTTAATTTTATTTTTTACTACTATTTTTTAATTTGACCAGAGGGAGACAGACAGAGGGAAAGTGAGAAAGCAAGCCACAGGTCCAGGATTCAAACCATTGTTGGCCATGTGGGAGGGAGTCCAGTGCCTTAACCATCACAGCACCTGCCAGCTCCATGATGTGTCTCTTGACTTGTGTCTCTTGGTCTTTCATTATATATTAATTTCATTTGATGTAGAAGATGATTTTCTATTGCATTGAAGTACTCCTTCCAATTTAATTTTGTGTATGCCAGTAGCCTGCATTTTAAGACAGTACCTCAAGTAAATTTCCTAAATCGATGAAAAAATTTTCTGGTTATTTTTATATAATATGATACAGACTGGGTATCCCTTATCCAGAATGCTTGAGATAAGAAGTGATTGAGATTTTGAATTTTATCAAATTTTAGAATATTTGCATATGTGTAATAGGATATATTGGGCATGTGACCCAAGTCTAAACAGGTAATTCGTTTGGTTTGTATGTATCATTTGCACAACATGATCATAATTTTTTTTTTTTTCTGGAGAGGTTTTTTGCTATAGGGCACATGCACTCACCAGAAAGACAGAGAGAGAGAGATAGAAAGCGAGAAATCAACCCCCAGGGAGGATAGCCACGCCGCAATCCCTCTCCATTCTCCTCTCAGGATCTTGGGCATCCATGCACAAGCGCCCGGTGTGAATTTAAGCCACCGGGTGTGGGACTCGAACCACAGTTGACAACATGGGAGTTCAGAGACATAGCCATTATGCTAATTGCTGGTCCCCCTGATCATAATTTTATACGGTATTTTTGTATTGTAGCATTTTGACTACAGCCCATCACATGAGGTCAGTGCGAAATTTTCTACTTGTGGTGTCATGTCAGCATTCAAAATTTTTGGATTTTGGAGCTTTTTGGATTAGGGATGCTCAGCCTGTAAGACAAACTAAAAAAATGTTTTTAATGAAATAGTATTTCTTTTTTTTTTTTTTTTGCCAGAGAATATGTGCACTCACCAGTGAGAAAGAGGGGGCATGGTCATAGAGTTGATAGAGAAGAAAGCACCCCTCAATGGGGAATGGTCATGCCACAATCCCATTTCCCCCATCTCTCCTTCCTGTTGGAATTTGAGATGTGTGACCCCATGCCACCTTCATGTTTTTCAAGTAGCTGGGGTCTGGATTCAGAATGTGGTCAGCCATGTAGGATATGGCTCCCTTAACTAATATGGCCCTGAGCACATGCCTTATTTTCTCCTTTTGTACCAGGTAGAGTGCATGAACATACATGACAGTGAGTGAGAGATAAGCACTCTACATAGTGTATGGTCACGTCATAATCCTCTTCCTACAGTCCTCCAGCCCATTGGATCTTGGGCACTTGTGGGCATACCTAATGTGTTTCAGGCTAACTGAGCTGAGGATTTGAGCTATAGGCACTGTGTGGAATCTGGCCTCTTTTAAGCAGTTCACTGCCACTGTGTCTTGGAACTGAACCAAAAAACATGTTTCTTATGCACACAAAGTAAATGGAAATATGTTAAATTGATTTCCCTGTTAAATGCACTGGTTCAGAGAGAGATGCTGTGCAATGTAAGTTTACATTATAAATATTAGCCGTTTGTTTGTTTGTTTTAAGGTTTCTTTCTTCCTTGAGAGAGACAATGCCTTCCCCTGGGTCTTGATGGTGTGATCTACCTCTAGCCTTAGCTAGTCCCAGATCATTAGCAAATGTATCCCCATCATAATCAGAGAGCGCTCCAGATGTGGACTTGAAACCTTCTCATGTTGGTCAGCCTCTCAAAGCATTGTATTTTACCACTGTGACATTGTCCTGCCCCAATATCAGCTATTCTAATGTTATTAGTGGCTAATGTTCAGTCTCTAAGGTTATTTCCATATGGTTGGCACTTTGCAGCTATGTGTAGTTTATGAAATCCATATATTTCACACCTTTTCTTTTAATCAGAAATTTTAATTTGGGGGCTAGCATTATAGTATAGTGGTTAAATGCTATGCTTAGAAGTCTGGACCCCATATGGCTGACCGTGGTTCATATCCCAGTTCTGATGGATTGAAACCATGCTGAGTGCATGTGTGTACACATGCCTCAAATCCTGAAGGGTTGGATAAATGGGGGGAAAGGGATTGTATTGCAGATGTGCTCCCCTTGGGAGTGGGGGAAACCTCTTGCTCTCACGTGTGCTCTCTCCTGCTTTCTATCTGTAATGTGCACCTGCCCTCCAGCAATTATAAAAGATAATTTAATTTTTGTCTTTGAGGGGGGAAATAGAGTCTCCTAGAGAAGTTATATAAATATATGTTAGTACTTGAGGGACCAGCAGTTAGTGTAATGGCTATGTTGCTGGACTCATGTAGTCAACCGCAGTTCGCGCCCAGACCCGGTGACTTAAACTCACGCTGGGTGCGTGTCCGTGCGTGCCCAAGATCCCAAGAGGAGAATGGAGGAGAAGGGATTGGCCATCCCCCCTGGGGGGTGATTTCTCGCTTTCTATCTCTCTGTCTCTCTCTGTCTGGCGAGCGCACGTGCTCTATAGCAAAAACCTCTCCCAAAAAAAAGAAAAAAAATATATATGTTAGTACTTGAAATGTATCTGGCAGGAAACATGGTGGGAGTGGGCAAATGTATGTTAAATTTAAAATTAGGGTTCTTTCAGCTATGTAACTATTAAAAGTAATTTAAAATACATGAAATACTATGTATTTTGACATTAATTGATTTTCACTATAGTTGAAATTGTCACCTAATATCTTTGAAAATTTGTATTTGAATAAATTTCTAAATTATTTCTAAAATTTGAACTTATATATGAAAGAAATAATCTTCTTTTCTCTCTTTCCCCTTAGGTGGAATGAACCTTACTTGTTGAATTATCTCCTGGTTACTGGCTGAATTTACTTGTAAAAGAATTGTTTTCCACTGCATGTAAGCCACTTAGTGGCATATTTAATTATAAGTCCAGGGATCACGAAGCTTTTTGATTTCCCAAAGGAGGGACATACCACTATCAAATAAGCTTGACATCACAGCCAAAATGGTGCTGTCCCAGAGACAACGAGATGAACTGTAAGTTTCTCTGTTTTATACTTTTAAAAAAAATCCTCTGCGATAAGGATAAAATAGTAAATTAAAATGCAACTCTTTATTATGGGAGTAATACAGTAGACCGTACATCCAAGCAGTCTGTAGTAAGATTAAAACTGTTTTTACCATTGTTCAAAGTTTGGTTTGGGCAGTTCTGTCTACTTTATAACTGGGTCTTACTTTGACATAGCATTATATATATACCCTTGTGACTTTTTCGTGTACAAGCTTAAAACAAACCAAGTAAATTAATTGGGACAAGTTTTATCCTAAGCTTATCTTTTAAATATATTCAACAGGAAGATAGCTTCTTCAGAACTCTTCTAGAGTTTTTTTTTTGTCTTGAATTTGTGCATACAAAAATGAAAGCCTATTTGATGTTATTGTCACTGCCTTTCCTTTGCCTTGTGTTTTTACCTTTTATCATCCAGTGACTATTAAAATATTTGAAGTTGATGAGGTGACTAATATGACAATTCATGTAAGTACACTAGTGAGAGAACTATGAAATGGTTTGATCATTGCTATTGGGTCATTAGAAAAGTCATGCTGCATTTTTGTATAGAAAAACAAATATGTCAAGACTTCCGATGACCGAATATTTTATAGCGTTCCATTTTTTAAATTATTTTTATTTTAACTTTATTTATTACTATTATTATTTTCCAGTTTGACCTGAGACAGACCCAGAGAGAGAAAGAGAGGGACGGGGAGAGGAAAGTGAGAAAAGGAAGCCACCAGGTCCACAACTCGAACTACGATTGGCGATGTGAGAGTCTAGCGCCTTTAATCACCAAGCCACCTGCTGGCCCCTAGTATTCCATTTTTGTAGGTGAAGAATGATGGAGGGAAAATATAGCTTATAAATTACATCATGGAATAAACTTGGAATAAATTTCAAATTTATAAAAACGTTGGGAGACTAGTACAAAAAATACAAGTTTTACTATATTTGCGTATCGTTAATGTTTTGTACCATTTGCTTTATTATTTGTACTCTATGGGATTTACGGATACGTACCCACAGTGTTTTGTTTTGTTTTCTTAAGACCCTTTGAGAGTAAATTGCACATATCAGAGACATTTATCCTCATCTAGGTATTTTAGTACTCTGTTCCTAAGAAAAGCATATTCTATTAAAACTACAGTACAGCGCCGGTAGGTGGCATGGTGGTTAAGGGCGCCGGACTCTCACATGGCCAACCATGGTTCAAGTCCTGAATCTGGTGGCTTGCTCTTTCACTTTCTCTCTCTCTCTGTCTCTCTCATGAGATCACCAGCCATATAGCAAATTAAAATAATACTAACAACAATATTAAATAAAATGATTCTTTAAAAGAATAAGGTTAAATAAAATAATTTTTTGAGAGGTTTTTGCCACAGGGCGCGTGTGCTCGCCAGACAGCCAGAGAGAGACAGAGAGACAGAAAGCAAGAAATCACCCCCCAGGGGGGATGGTCACGCTGCAATCCCTTCTCCATTCTCCTCTCGGGATCCTGGGCACGAACGCACACGTGTCCGGCGTGAGTTTCAAGCCACTGGGTCCGGGACTCAAACCGCAGTCGACCACATGGGAGTCCAGCGACATAGCCATTACACTAACTGCTGGTTCCCCAATAAAATAATTCTTTAAAAAGAAAAAACTACAGTACAGTTTTCAATTTCAGTAAATTTATCGTTCACATGTTAATCTCTTATATTTTCAGTTTTGTCAGTTGACCTGGTAATGTCCTTTATAGCATTTCGTCCTGTTCTAGTATACCATCCAATCCAGGACCAAATATTGCATTTACTTGCCATGTCTCTCTCTTTCTTTTTTAACTTTTAAAAATTATATTATTTAGGGGCAGTAGGTGGAGTGGTGGTTAAGAGCGCTGGACTCCCCTGTGGCTGACTGTGGTTCAAGTCCTGGGCCTGGCAGCTTGCTTTTTCACTTTCTCTCTTTAGCTCACTCTGTCCCTCTCTGGTCAAATTAAATGAAGTTAAATAAAATAATTCTTTAAAAAAATTATTTTATGAGAACAGCAGTTAGCGTAATGGCTATGTTGCTGGACTCCCATGTGGTCGACTGCGGGTCAAGTCCCGGACCCAGTGAAAACACGTGTGCGTGCGTGCCCAGGATCCCGAGAGGAGAATGGAGAAGGGATTGCAGCGTGACCATCCCCCCTGGGGGGTGATTTCTTGCTTTCTGTCTCTCTGTCTCTCTCTGGCTGTCTGGCGAGCACACGCGCCCTGTGGCAAAAACCTCTCAAAAAATTATTTTATTTAACCTTATTTATATAGTATTTATTTTATTTATTTTAATTTGACTAGAGAAGGAGAGAGCTTGAGAGAGAGAGAGAAAGTGAGAAAGCAAGCCCAAGTCTAGGACTTGAACCCTGGTTAGCTTTGTGGGATTCCAGCACCTTAACCACCTGCCAGCACCTCCTTTATTTTTTCCCAAATAAATTTATTATTTTATGTAAGTCCTCATCTTGATGTATACTATGTATATATAGTTTTTTCGACAGAGAACTTTACTTTTTTAGTCTGTTAAATGTTTCTTTTGTACCTCACACCAACCCTTTACCACTCACTCTACCTTCCATTCTTTCTTACAGTCTTTGGTATTTACATTTACCCTGTCTACTGTAATATCTTCAAATCTCTCAAAAATCTGGCTTAGTTCACTCAGCATTGAATCTTGTATATTCATCCTTTTCTTCTTTTTATTTTATTTTTTATAATTTGGGACTGGTTGGGGCGGGGGGTGTAAAAAAGCAAGCCACTGAGTCCAGGACTCAAACTGTAGTCGGCCATGTGGGAGTCCAGAGCCTCAACCACCATCCCACCCACTGGCCCCTATATTTATCCACTTTGAATCACATAATAGAATCTCATTGTTTCTTATAGCTCAGTAATATTCCAATGTGTCACAGTTTTTCAACCCAGTCATTTGTTTTGAACACTTAGGCCGGTTCCATGTTTTAGCAGTTGTGAATGGTGCTACAGTAAACATGGATATACATGCATCTTTCCAATTTAGTGTTTTCCTTTCCTTTGGGTTAATACCAAAGAGTGGGATTAGGATTACTAGGTCATATGGTAGTTCCATTTGTAGGTTTTTAAGGAACCTCCATTGGTTTCCACAGAGGTCATATTAATTTACATTCCCACCAACACTGTAAGAGGGTTCCCTTTTCATCACAACCTCACCAGCACTTACTGTTTTTATTGTTTTGATCTTAGCCATTTTAACTGGGGTTAGATAGTATCTCATTGGGGTTTTAATTTGCATTTCCCTTATGAAAAGAGACTTGAACATTTTTTCAAATGGCTTTTGGCCACTTCTAAGTCTTTTGTTGGAGAGTTGTCTATTCAATTCATTTACCTTTATTTATATTTATTTTTAAATTTTTATTTTTTGAGAAATTTTTGCTATCAGGCACATGCGTTCATTGGAGAGAAAGAGAAAGGGAGAGATTACTCCCAAAGGGAGTGGCCACTTTGCCATCTCTTCTCTGTTCTCCTCTTGGGATTTTGGGCACACACGTGCACATGCGTGGCATGAGTTTAAAGCCACTGGTCAGGGACTAGAACCATGATCACCCATGTGGGGAGTCGCAACACCTTAGACACTACGCCACCTGCTAGGCCCATTTCCCCCACCCTCTTTTTTTTTTTTTTTGGAGAGGTTTTTGCTATAGGGCGCATGTGCTCACCAGAAAGAGAGAGAGAGACTGAGAGACAGAAAGCAAAAAGTCACCCCCCCACTTCCCGGAGGGATAGCCATACCATAATCCCTTCTTCTCCATTCTCCTCTCGGGATCTTGGGCACACATGCATACACGCCTGGCGTGAGTTTAAGACACCGGGTCCAGGACTCGAACCTCGGTTGACTACATGGGAGTCCAGCATCATAGCTGTTAAGCCACCTGCTGGTTCCACTTGCCCATTTTTTATGGATTATTTGTATTTTTAAATTTTATTTCTTTTGAGATTTTTTTTTTTTTTGCCATAGGATGTGTGTACTTACCAGAGAGATAGAGAAAGGGAGAAATCTCTCTCTCACATGCGCGCGCACACACACACACACACACACACACACACACACAAACCCAGGGTTCGGGGGGCGGGGTGGAGGGGGGGCAGTCATGTAATCCCTTCTCCATTCTCCTCTTGCGTACACTCAGTGTGAGTTTCAGCCCTCCGGGTCCAGGACTCCAACCTTGGTTGGCCATATGCGAGTCCGGAGATGTAACCACTGCATCATCTGCTGGCCCTTGATCATTATTACTATTATTTTCGTTTTTTAAAAAAATAATTATTTTAGGGACCAGTAGGTGGTGTGGTGGTTAAGGATACTGGATTCCCATGTGGCCGACCATGATTTGAGTCCCAGATCTGGTGGCTTGCTTTCTTATGTGCTTTCTCTCTTTCTCTCCCTCTGTCCCTCTCTGGTCAAATTAAAATAAGTAATTAAATAAAGTTAAATAAAATAATTCTTGAGTAAAGCACAGGAATGGAGAAAAAGAGCAAGGATCATTAAATCTTGAGTCTTACAGATCTGCCGATGGCAATAAAAATCAAACACATGTGAAAGTGTCACCTGTAGTATTACCTGGTGACTTGCTTTCTCACTTTCTCTCTCTCTCTGTCCCTCTCTGGTAAACTTAAAATAAATGAATGAATAAATAAAATTAAATAATAATTATTTTTTAAAAAAGAGTTTTTAAGGAACAATAATTATTATTTTATTTAACTTTATTTATTTAATTTAATTTTTCCAGAGAGGGACAGAGAGAGAGAGAGCAGGAAAGTGAGAAAGCAAGCTTTCTTTTTCTGTAAAGAACGTTACAGGCAGTTAGATTAGAATCACATTGAATATGTGAATTAATTTTGGTAGAACTGAGATTTTGATTATATTGATTCTTCCAATCTAAAAACATGGGATTTTTTTCCCTTTTTTTTTTTTGCATATTTAATTTCTTTTTTTCAGTTTTTCATAATTTTCTTTATAGAGGTCTTTCACCTTTTTGATTAGGTTTATTCTTGAGCGTCTTGCACATTTTGTGGCTATTATAAATGGGACTGGTTTCTTCAGTTCTTTCTCAATCTGTTCATCGTTGGTGTATAAATATGCTATAGATTACGCCAGTAGGCGGCATAGTGGTGAAGGCACTGGACTCCCACATGACCCACCACAGTTCGAGCCCTGGACCCAACAGCTTGAAAAAACATGCCAGGTGTGTATGTGCTTGCACATTCCCAAAATCCCAAGAGAAGAATGGAGGAGAAGAGATGTGGTGTAGCCATCCCTCCTTGGAGGTGATGTCTCATTTTCCCTCTCTATGTCACTCTTTCTGGCATTTGCACACACCTCTGGCACTAAATCTGTAAAATTAAAAATAAGTAGATTTTTATATGTTGATTTACTGAATTCATTTATCACTTTCAGGAGTTTTTTCATTAATTTCTTAGGATTTTCTACATATATAATCATATACTCTGCACATACGGACAGTTTAGCTTCTTTTCCTATCTGCATGCCTGTCTTTTCTGATTGCATTGACTAGGACTTCCAGCACTATGTTGAAAAAGAGTGGGGAAAGTAGGCAGCCTTGTCTTGTTTCAGATTTAATGGGAAACTTTCAAATGTTCCCCATTCAATATGATGGTAGCAGTGGATGGATCTGTTGTGTATGACTTTATTGTGTTGAGGAATGGCCCTTCTCCCCTTATTTTACTGCGAGTCTTGATCATGAAGGGATTTTGTATTTTTACCAAATGCTTTTTCTGCATCTATAGATATGATCATGTGGGGGACCAGCAGTTGGCGTAATGGCTGTGTCACTGGACTCTCACGTAGTCCACCGCATTTCGAGTCCCGGACCCAGTGGCTTAAACTCACGCCATGCGTGTGTGCATGCGTGCCCAAGATCCCGAGAGGAGAATGGAGAAGGGATTATGGTGTGGCCAAACCCCCTGGGGTGTAATTTCTTTCTTTCTGTCTCTCTGTTTCTGTCTTTCTGGAGAGTGCACTCGCCCTAGAGCAAAAACCTCTCAAATAAACAAAAGATATGATCATGTGGTTATTATCTTTCTTTCTGTTGATATAATGTATTTTTTTAAAGAATTTTTTGCCTGACAGTGCATGGACTCACCAGAGAGAAATAGAAACAGTGAGAGGGAAAGTGAGAAATCACCTCCCCATGGGACATGCTAATGCCCGCAATCCTTTCTCCTCTACTCTCCTTGAGATTTGGGGCATGCATGCACATGCACCAGATGTGAGTTTCAAGCTGCTGGGTCTAGGGCTCAACCGTAGTTAGTCGGCTGTGTGGAAGTCTAGTGCCTTAACCACTGTGCCACCTCCTGGCCCCGTAAATCCATTACTTTGAAGTGAGTTACAAATTTGGCTTTAGATCCATTTATATTAAAAGAGATTATATAGAAAAATAGGCTTTCTGGGGACCAGCAGTTAGCATAATGGCCATGTCGCTGGATTCCCATGTAGTTGACCGCGGTTCGAGTCCTGGACCTGGTGGCTTAAATTCACTCCTGGCGCGTGTGCATGCGTGCCCAAGATCCCGAGAGGAGAATGGAGAAGGGATTATGGCATGGCCATCATCCCTGGGGGGGTGATTTCTCGCTTTCTATCCCTCTGTCTCTCTCTGTCTGTCTGGCGAGCGCACGCGCCCTATAGCATAGCAAAAAAAAAAAAAAAGTGTTTATCTCTAGTAAAGTAAGTAATGTATGTGTGTTTATAGATAATCTCAGGATAAATACCCAAACCCTAATAAAGTGGCCGCCTCACATACAGAGTATTGGAAGTACCTTATGTATAGGTAACTTTTATTTATGTATTTATTTGTTTAATTAATTTACCGCAAGGCAAATGGCAGTCACCAGAGAGAGAAGATGAGAAAGTACAACCCCTCCTCCTTCATTCTCCTACTGGGATTTTGGCACACATGCACATGCACCCAGTGTATTTTTGAAGGCACTACGTCAGGGACTCAAACCACACAGTTAACCATGTGGGATCCAGCCACCTTAACCACCATGCCACAGCTGGCCCTAGATTAACTTTTAATTAAAAATGTTTTAAAGGAAATCCTGAGCAGACAACTTTATATCATGAAGGGGACCTAAGGACCAAAAAAATTGAGAGACTTTGAAATAGGTTGCATTAGGAAGAAGGTAGCTTGGGCCAGCCCTGTAGCCTGGTGAATAGGTAGCTAGATCCCACATGGTTAGCCGCTGTTCTTATCCTGGTGACTTAAAAACACGCTGGGCATGCATGCCCCAAATGTTGTCAGGATAGACAAAGGAGAAAAGATCGTAGTGTCACCAGGCCCCATTGGGAGGTGCTTTCTCCCTCTCTCTTTGACTCCCCTGGTGAGTGCACACATCCCCTAGCAAATCAATGTTTTTTCTTTCTTTTACTCAAACTGGTCAACAACGTGGGAGTCCCGCAATGTAATCATTATGCCATCTGCTGAGGTTTTCCTCTTTTTTTTTTTTTTTTTAAGAGCAATTTTTACTATAGGGCGAGTGTGTTCGCCAGAGAGACAAGAAAAAGAAATCGACCCCCGGGGGGATGTCCACTCTGCAGTCCCTTGTTCTCCATTCTTCTCTTGGAATTTTGGGCACACACATACATGCGCCCAGCATGAGTTTCAAGCTTCCAGGTAGTTAGCCATGTGAGAGTCCAGCACTTAACTACTGTGCCACCTGCTGGCCTCACAATTAACCTCCTTTTCCTTTTTTTTTTTACCATGAATCAGCCCACCATTATTCTCCTTTTCCTTTTTTTTTTTACCATGAATCAAATTTCCCCAAAGGGGGAATTTTATTGACTACTTTATTCCCTCACAAAAAGACCAATTGTAATCAAATGAGATGAACATTCACCTCAAGATTTTGTTGTCTTCATAATAAGAAAGATGAGGCTTAGAACTGGATCAGTCGACCCTTTCTCTTTCTCTTATCTCCTCCTAGTTCAAAATGCTTACATCTCTTAATAGCCATCATTCTCTTAGGTATATGTTGGACTCAACACATTCAAACCTCAGCACAATCTTTGTAGTTTTTCCTTTTTTCCAGAAAATAGGCTTAATCTGTCCACCATAGCCACTCTGCCTCCTGTCATAACTTAGCTGCTTTCCCTGAGCACACAGAGAATCCTTGCCCTTTTTGTACTGTGTCACTTTATGAGGTTAGTGCTTGCCACACTTCTTACAGAAGGTCCAGCAGGTTTTAGGGACGTTCATCATGCTTGCAGGCCTGCTATCTGCACAGAAAGCCCTACAATTATCTTTTTAAAAGGAAGAAGGTTCCTGATTTTCCCTTTCTTGAAAGTACAAGGCAGGGATGAAAAAGGATCTGCTAATTCATCTTCTCTAACCTTGAATTTTAATTCTAAATGAATTTTTTATTTTCTGATAGTATGCTTAGTTTATAGCTTGTGCTTTAAAAAAAAAAAAAAGAATTATTATTTTTTTAAATTTACTATTACCATTTTCAATTTGACCATAGAGAGAAAGGGAAAGTAGAGAGAGCAAGCCACCAGGTCTGGGACTTTAACTGCAGCTAGCCATGTGGGAGTCCTGCGCCTTAACTACCACGCCACCTGCTGTCCTTACTTGTGCCTTTTTTTTATTAACCCGCCCAGTGCCAATGGGTTGAAGTTGTGTCTAACATAAAAATAATGTAATTTTATAGAAACATTCCTATGCAGAACTAAATTCTAGTTCCACCTTGTGTATAACAAGTAGTAAGGAAAGTCTAAATGGAAACATTAACAAAATTTAAGATTACTATCACAGTTGGTATCTATTCATCAACAAGTCTAAAACAGTTTTGCTTAGAAAAATATGTCGTGGGACCAGCAGTTGGTGTAATGGCTATGTTGCTAGACTCCCACGTAGTCAACTGCAGTTTCAGTCCTGGACCCAGTGGCTTAAATTCATGCTGAGCTTGTGTGCATGCATGCCTAAGATCCCCAGAGGAGAATGAAAGAGAAGGGATTGCAGTGGTGTGGCCAATCCCCTAGGGGAGTGATATCTCACTTTCTGTCTCTCAGTTTCTTTCTGTCTTTCTGGCAAGCACACTTGCCCTATAGCAAAAACCTCTCCAAAAAAGAAAGGAAGAAAAAACATGTCATGACTTTTCTGATGGCCCAGTAATTAGATAAGCCATAGCTTGATCTTTAGAACTGTTGACAGCTTGTGGGGGAGGCAACAACAGAAATTTATATCTAAAAGCTCAAGTATAATGTAACATTATGAATGTATTGTGACAAGGCTTAGTGTTCTAGAGGCTTTACGGGAGGGATGTCCATTTTTTGTGAAATACTTGTGTTATTGAAAAGGAATAAGAAGGGATTGCGGTGGTGTGGCCAATCCCCTAGGGGAGTGATATCTCACTTTCTGTCTCTCAGTTTCTTTCTGTCTTTCTGGCAAGCACACTTGCCCTATAGCAAAAACCTCTCCAAAAAAGAAAGGAAGAAAAAACATGTCATGACTTTTCTGATGGCCCAGTAATTAGATAAGCCATAGCTTGATCTTTAGAACTGTTGACAGCTTGTGGGGGAGGCAACAACAGAAATTTATATCTAAAAGCTCAAGTATAATGTAACATTATGAATGTATTGTGACAAGGCTTAGTGTTCTAGAGGCTTTACGGGAGGGATGTCCATTTTTTGTGAAATACTTGTGTTATTGAAAAGGAATACTTTTAAAAAACTTTAAGAGATTTTTAAATAAATGTTATTTCTTCAAAATAGAAATGAGATTTTTTTAAGGAGTCGTTTTAATTTATTTTCTTTCAGAAATCGAGCTATAGCAGATTATCTTCGTTCAAATGGCTATGAAGAGGCATATTCTGTTTTTAAAAAGGAAGCTGAATTAGATATGGTGTGTTTGACTTTTTATAATTATTCATAGTGTGTAGTTAATGAGTGGATCTTACCAGAGTATCAGTAGTTAATAGTTAACTCAGTTATTCACATATAATTGTCATTTGTGTGATTCACTTGGCCTGTACTTGATTTTTCCTCCCTTTTTTCCTTTTGTGGAATCAGACTTGTAATAGTATTTGGACTGTGGCCAGCAGGTGGCGTGGTGCTTAAGGGCGCTGGACTCTGCTATGGTCGACTCCCTAACCTGGCAGCTTGCTTTCTTGCTTTCTCTCACTCTGCCCTTCTCTGGTCCAATTAAAAATAGATAAATAAAGTTAAATAAAATAATTTTAAAAGTATTTGGATTTAGACCTAAATGGTCTCTATGGCTTGAACTGTCATAATGAAACCATTTATTTAAATGTTCTTTCTTTTTTTCCTCTAGAATGAAGAATTAGATAAGAAGTATGCTGGTCTTTTGGAGAAAAAATGGACATCCGTTATTAGATTACAAAAGAAGGTAACTTTTTCTCTCTAAAATGTTATTCACTATGTTATTACAAACTTTCTGAAAATATTAACATATTCTTCTCTGTTAATTAATAATTATATCTGGGCCAGCCTGTGACCTGCTGGTTAAGACAGCTGGACCCCAAATGGCCAATCACGCAGTTTGAGTCCCAGATCTGACATCTTGAGAAACATGCTAGGTGTGGATGCATGTGTGACCAAAATCCCAAAAGGAAGGAGAGATGGAGGAGGTGGGATAGGCATTATCCTGCTCCATGAGAGTGGAGTGCTTTCTCACTTCCCCTCTTTCTGTCTCTCTAGTAAGTGATCATGGTTTCCAGCAAAATGTTTTTTAAAAGAAAAAGCATACGTAATATTGTTATAATGAGTTCATCCATATAAACCTCTTAGAGTACCGAGCACCTGGTAGATGTTCAATAAATATTAACTTTTAGGGACCAGCAATTGGCATAATGGCTACACTGCTGGGCTTCCATGTAGCCAACCATGGTTTGAGTTCCAGACCCAGTGGCTTAAATTCACGCTGGATGAATGTGCTTGCGTGCCTAAGATCCCAAGAGGAGAAGGGGTTGTGGCATGGCAATCCCCCTGGGGGGTGATTTCTCGCCTTTTGTCTCTGTCTTTCTGGCGAGCGCACATGCCCTATAGCAAAAACCTCTCAAAAATATTAACTTTTATTATAAATATTGTTATAATCATCTGCAAATGTAAAAGGGTGGTTTGAACAGAATTTACTACGAGTAGCAGCCTTAGAGGGAAGAGAGGTTCACTGATCTTCTTCTAATTAGTAATAGAAGACTGTCACGAGATGTAAATTGAAATTTTCCTTTGAGTTAAATAGTTAAGACAATCATACTGAATTTTTCTTTGTGTTTACTTTTGTTATACTAATTAAATTTTGTTAGTGTACAAAACAAATCATTTTCATTTAAATCAAACCAGTGCTGTGTAAATTAACTGAAATTTTACCACCTATCTTATGTATATAGATCCAAAATAAAGGCAGTTTTTGAAAATGTCAAATAGGCTGTTTTATTGAATCTACCTACCTGTACATGACTGTGTGTTCCATCTTAAGGTTATGGAATTAGAATCAAAGCTAAATGAAGCAAAAGAAGAATTTACGTCGGGTGGACCTCTTGGTCAGAAACGAGACCCAAAAGAATGGATTCCCCGTCCACCAGAAAAATATGCGTTGAGTGGTCATAGGAGTCCAGTCACTCGAGTCATTTTCCATCCTGTGTTCAGTGTTATGGTCTCTGCTTCAGAGGATGCTACAATAAAGGTAGGTTTTTTTTAAAAATTAGACTTAAGGCATGGTGGTTTGGTGCTGGATTCCCATGTGGCTAGCTAACTACAGCATCAGTCCTGGACCTGGATTCTTGTTTTCTCACTTTCCCTTTCTACTCTCTGTCTCTCTCTCTTGACCAAATTAAAAAATAAGAAATAAAATTGAATAGATAATTCTTTCGTTCTTTTTTTGTTTTTTTTGGAGAGATCTTTGCTATAGGGCGCGTGCACTTGCCAGACAGAGAGAGACATTAGAGACAGAAAGCAAGAAATCACCCCCCAGGGGGGATGGTCACGCCGTAATCCCTTCTCCTCCATTCTCCTCTCAGGATCTTGGGCCCACATGTGCCCGGCATGAGTTTTAAGCCACCAGGTCTGGGATGCGAACCGCAGTCGACTACGTGGGAGTCCAGCAACATAGCCTTTACGCTAACTGCTGGTTCCCAGGAGAGATAATTCTTTTTTTTTTTTAATTACTTATTTTATTTATTCATTTATTTATTTCGTAATTTGACCAGAGAGAGACGGGGAATGAGAGTAAGAAAGAGAGGAAGTGAGAAAGCAAGCCACCAGATTCAGGACTTGAACCATGGTCAGCCATGTGGAAGTGTCCAGCGCCTTAACCACCACGCCACCTGCTGGTCTCACCAGGATAGATAATTCTTTTTTTTTTTTGGAGAGGTTTTTGCTATAGGGCACGTGCGCTCGCCAGACAGACAGAGAGAGACAGAAAGCGAGAAATCACCCCCCAGGGGGGATGGTTACGCCA